CTACGTTAAAGCATGTTGTGAATATGCTTGGCACTCATAAGAAGTGGGAATTGACATAATACGATTAGGGAAAAATAAAGTAGGGAGCCGCCAACAAGTTTTTAAGGAACTTGTAAACCGTTCACGGATCATAAAAAGGCAACCACGATAAGGGACAACGATAGGCAACAACGATTGACCCGTGAAGGTTACACCCCATTCATAATCCATGAGATTACTAACTCCATATGGTTCGGAACCACGAAAGGAGGATCGGGGTGATGGTACAAAGTGAGTCATAGAGTCACATTCGCCCGTATTGGCCTCTACTCGATTCTTATAGTGAAAAGTGATTCCTGCGATCTCAAAGGCATACAAACAAAATATTCAATTTGCTCCAAACTATTATTAAGCTAATGGTTTAATATTACTGCAACATATTATTCTAAAATATTTGTGATCACTTTAATTAATAAAAATATTAAAAAGGAACCTAAGCCGATTATCCAAATCATCTTATTAGGCGTGATTTTCAATTACATATTCCCTTTAACATGAAATATGGTGATCAAAAATAAAATAGAATAAAGATTAATATTGGAAGCAATTCAACAATAATAGCGTTAGTCAACTCGAATAATAAATTAACCTAATCATGATACTAGCAATATAAAAATAAAATAAGAGTAATTAAATTAATTAATTACTCACATTCCACGCGTTCCTTTAAATTGCTACATCATGAATAAATTGTTAGTAACTTCAATAAAAAATATAAATCAAATGGAAATTAAATTAAATAAATGTAGATTTGATTTGGTCCAAACCCTCAGTTATTGGTACATTCCACGCCTTGGTTTAATTTAAGTACAGAACCTCAGGTGTTGTATGGACTCTTTGGAGTGCTTAGAGAAAAAATGATGTAATTAGAAATATAGGTTTGAGGCTTAGAATATGAGAGAAAAAGAAGAGAATGATTTTTGGTGTAAAAGAGAGAAAGAGAGAAGGATTTGATGATAATTCTTGTTGATGATTGAAAAAGGGGAGATATGACCTCTATTTATAAGGAAAAAAGAGGGTCGAAGAATCAAGAAAAGATAAGAATTCGAATCGGATAAAACTCTTGCGATAGACAGCAGTTTTTGCGGTTTTTGTTTTTATCATATCTTTTGATCTAGAAATCGGAATAAAGTAAATAAGATATCGTTGGAAAACTCTTGAATTCTACTTTCTAAACCAATTAGAATCAGATTAAAATACGTCGTAGAATAAAAGATATGGCCGAAATAGTGAGACGGTGTCAGTTTTGGATAGAGTTTGATATTTTATTCATATCTTTTCCATTATAACTCGGAATTGATATTATAATATATCATTGGAAAGATAATTTCAAGGGCTATCCAAACATATAAAATTTGGATAAAAAATATGAGGCATGAAAATCATATCTGACTACCTTTGAACGTCTTTCAATTCGAATGGAAATAGGACTTTTAAAAAGAAAATTTTTATTCAATTTCAAACTTTTTAATCTTATCTTTTCAAAAAGGATAACTAAGATATTTTAGAAACTTATAGTAGTTTCCAATAAATCCTAATTGGTTTAGGAATGGGATTAAATAATTTGGACCCTCCACTTAATCATTAGGTCGTAGGTAAGGTGGGCTTAGGTTCGGTTTGGGCTCAATTTAATATTTTGGCCATAACTTATTCGTTATAACTCGGATTTGGATTTATTTACAAAGACTAGAATAGACCCGGTCTACAATAACTTATTGCAGACCCAACCACCTTGTATACCACACGAATGTGATTATACCATACGATATGTGATTATATTACTACCGAAGTTATTATATCATTTTGAAACTATTATGTAAATGTATAACTCAAATGGTGAATTTATCATTATAAAAAGTACTATTAAATAGAAAATTACATAATTCAAAACATGATTTTTAAATCTTATCATCCTAAAGATAATTATATTGTCTCATTAAATGGTTTAATATGAGATTATATAATTCAAAATATGATTCACAAATAGATAATTATATCATCTAAAAAAGTGATTATGTCATCCAGAATGTGATTATATTATTTGAAAGTGTCAAATTTTGGGTCTACAATAATTTACGGTAGACCGGGTCCATACAAAACCAATTGTATAATATATCGTTGGAAAGCTCTTTTCAAACCCCATCCAACTATTAAATCATTGGACCCAGATTATGAACCAAAATAAACTGGAATAAACATTTTTATAAAAAGACACAAAATGAATGATTTTAAAGGACACGAAATGAATTATTTTGGGTTTAAAGACACGAAAAGAGGAAAATAAATTATGGTTTGGGGAAATGGGCTAGGAATTGGGTTGGTTTATGAAATGAAAATATGGATTTGAATATGGATTTAAACACTCCAAAGATTAAATACTAAATCCGACCAATAATAGCGGTGAAAGGTTGTTCATCATCGAGTATGGTTTAGGGGATACTTTTTTAGGTGTCTACACATACAAACCGATGAAAAAATTAGATTAAGATGCAATTTACTATTTATAACAACTTTTGGGCTACAATTTTCAATTTTTTTTTAGATGACTGCAATTTGTTATATACTAACTTTAAATGAATGCAATTTGGGAAATTCCCTTGAGTACTTGCTAAAATAATTTAAATGATGACTACATGACCTTTATCCAATGCAAGTAAAATCTTGCTATTAAAAAATCATCCCCAATTTACAAACAGAATTCAAAGACCTTACTGTCTGTACCAGCTTAAAACTAGGTAGAAACTGACTAAGAGTCTAAAATTTCACATTATTTATTGCATAAGCTTCAGTCAGCCAGCATTCCTGAATGTCCTGTGCAGCATGGATCCCATGCATACTGATATAACTAAGAAAACTACTTTAAGAAAAACTACTTTATCAAGAAGAAAAAAAAAACTAAGAAAACTACTTTATCAAGCAACCTTGCTCAATTATATGCACATGTACAAAGAAAAGGACACGGCAGAGGCTTCTCGATTCCTCTAAAACTAGAAAATGAGAGCGCAATTCATATAAGAACACAGATTAAAGAAGAGAAGGAGCACCAGAAGTGAATCTGCTATACATGAAACAATGCTGGACTCGGTATTCTACAGTGAGTGGAAAGTAATGATGGTAATTGTGTTACAGGATATCCACATCACAACTGCAAAAGGTATTTGCGGTTTCCACACCCGTATTATTAGACAATGAGACAGCCACAACCAATGCACATAGCCCACACAAGTAGCTCCAACCAATGTCGCAATTTCGCACTTACAAACTCATCCAAGATTTAAAACCTTGATACATGTATTAAACAGGCATCTCACTGTCCAAGGTGGGAAAGTAAGGGATAAGAAATTCTGATACACTTCAAGCAAGAAGCAGTGTCAAGTAAAAAGCAAATTGCTCCTCAAGTATCGTCATGGCTTCTACTGCTAACTAGAACACGAAGTGGAACACCAAAACTATGAATATCTTTATTTCACTCTTATGACAGAAACTGTTATTTCTATGTTCTCCTACTGTTCTTAAAATCAAACAGAGCATCATATACAATGAGGCATTCAAATGTATCAAGTGACGCAAGGTTATTAACAAGTTGATATCACTAGACAGGAGGATAACTTGATGCAAGAAAGGACTTGTAGAACAAGGCAGCAGTCACTAGTGGCATACTTACTACTCATCAGTCATCACTAACACTGCCAATAAGCACATCGTCCTCAGTCCCATTCTGATGTCTGATCTGCAGACATGGATAAACAAAATTGATCGAAATAGACCAAAAATGATAACCAATTAAATGTTCTTGGCAATTACATATTGCAAATAAACGCCCTTCAACATTTCATAAGAAGCACACTTAACAATCGTCCAGACAAAAGAAGCTCACCTCCAAATTTCAATGCTTTGTGCCTATATAACTTAGCCATAGCCCAAGATTGAATCAAAACATCGAAATTACACCTTATAACTATAGCACAATAATTAAAATTCCTTCCCAAGTACTTCCAACTAAGGATATATGTGGTAAATATCTTGTTCTTTACAACCCCAGGTAACAATATAATTGTTATACTAAAGCTCTACCCACTTAAAACCCAATAATGTTCAACAAATGCCACATCTAAAGAGTAAAGACTAAAGAGAAAGATGCACATCTTAGGCAGAACAATAAATTTTGAAGCTCGTACACGAGATGAGAAAAACTTATTCTAAGGTCTACAAATACGTAGGTTCATGAAAATCTGTTCACAGGCTAGAAAAGCTAAATCATATCAATTGACATCCATTATAGAAAGACAAAATGATCAACCAATCAACATAAAAAACACTCAATCGTTGTCATGAACAATTAATTTCTACACTTATTGTTTCCCTGTCTTGACGTTCTCTAACATATACAATGCCCCTGGCTTATCTAAAAAGGCCACAACTAACAAGCATTGCAAATTAGTTGGTCTAGTAATAATTGCAGAAACAACCATGGTTGCATTTCAATTATCAGGGAGGAGTTTAGTGGTATTGTGGATAGTCCATAATCACAAAGGGTTCGGACAATGTGATAACTAATTCCAAACGAGGTCATTATTCATTACAAATCAAAGAGTATTTCAAAAATAAGTAAGAGCTGATTATATTAGTAACTTTGGATTACCCAATCATATCATAGTTGTATTTCAATCATCAAGAAGGTGTTTAGTGGTATTGTGAATAATCCTTAATTACAAAGGGTTTGGACAAGGTGACGACTAATTCCATACGAGATCATTATTCTATACAAATCAAACATTAACTCCCACTCATAAGTCGATTACACAATACCAGTAAATTAATGATAATCAGAATAACAGCTATACCACAACCCAAGTACGCCAAACAATACGCAATCATCAAGCCACATTCGACATTTCGAAAGTCCATAAGCATACAATTCAGGATAAATCAATCCAAATAATTGATCACAAAATATCCCAAATCAACAAAACGAGTTATATAACGAAAAAGTAAGCATTCTCCATTAATTTATATCCATTAATCCGATGAACAGAGCGTCAAACAAACATAAACCTATCATTATAAGTATAAAAAACCGTGAATTTAAGATTCAAATTCATCGCATTACACAAACCCTGAGAAACAGAAATTCTACTTATCTTCCAAAAAGGGAGAAAACAAACCAACCAATCAATCAGTTCTGGTCTTCATCCTCTCAACACGCTGATTCAACTGCTCAATCTTAACAACCAAAGCAGTAACAGAGTACAAGATCCAGTAAAAGACGAGAGCAGCAGCAATAAGAAGAGCATTACGCTGCGATTTCATGATCGATTTCTGGTGACGAAGAAACTCAGAAGGAGTACACGAATCTGACTCACAACTCGGCCGAGTCTCGTACTTCCAGTAGATATCCATGAGAAGAAACAAGCAAAATGGAACGATTGACAGAAATGGCTTGAGAAGGTTGCGAGTTACGGCAATCAAACCCTTGCGAAGACCGTCGAGGCCTGGGAGAGTAAGGAGGATCACCATGATTGCTTCTGCTGCTGCTGCGTAGCCGAGTACTACCCATTCTAACGCCATTGTTGGTGAATGAAGAACCCTAGATCTGGAGGTTGAAGAAGAGGTTGTTGTGGAAGGAAGGGATCAAAGAGAGAGAGAGGAGGAGAGAGAAAAATGGTAGATGCCAGATTTTTTAGTGTTAAATAGGGAGTTTGTATTGCTGGGATTCATGACACGTTCTTGAATTATTTTTCCACCCGGCATCTTTGTTTCACCGAGTAAGCAAACTACTCCGTTTTTTATTATTTATTTATTTTTATTTTTTTAGAAAAAATGAAAATAAATAAGGGAAATTCTCAATGGTAGCCTCTTGTTTTTGCTTTTTCTTAATGGTAACCAATTTTTTTTTCTATTATCTTTGGTAGCCACATACTTTCACAACTTCTCAACCGTAACCATAATGGAGTTTTTTCTTTTAAAAATCTGTTAAATTTAACTTTTATTAACTATGGTTAGTCATATCAACCCACCTTCTTCAACCCTTCTTTCCCAAGTCTCCAACTTAGTCAACTTTACCACTAAGCTTCAAAACGCCATTTTTAATTTGAACCTCCATCTTTAATGATATGGCAATATCTCTTTTCATACCCTCCATTTTTCAGCACCCACCTTCTTCCTCATCCTTTCTTCTTCTTTCTCACAATCTTATTTTCTCTCTCCTTCATTTTAGCCCTTCTCACAATTCCCTCCTCTCTTATCCCACCTCTAAAAGTCAAAACACTATTCAATCACATCTCCCTTCATTCTTGATTCTTCCCTTCCAACCCCATTTTCTCTCACCTATTACTCCATTTTTACATCTCATTAAAATCGCCCAAACTCAATTTTTTGATGAGAACAAAACCATCAAATCAACGATATCCATGAACTGAGGGAAAGCTTGGCTCAAGCCTTGGTCAGTGGTGGCCTAAGGCCATAGACGATCCTGCGAAGCATCTATACTGTACAAACATTTTTGAGGAGGACAGAGAAAATCAAGAACGCTAAATTTTAATTAAGAAGAAGATATAAGAGGGGAAATGAAAAGCACTGAAGGAAGAATTGGAAGGGGATGGTTGGAGATTGAAGGAAGATGAGAGATATAGGAGGAGAATGAAAATGGAAAATGTATTAAAAATAATAAAAAAAAAAAGGAAAATGAAGGGGGTTATGGCTTCTGGGTTGTTGTGGCCTCGTGGGTGTTGACTACTGAGTGTAGATTTTTGCCTTTTTTATTTTTTATTTTTTTTTTAAATGTTAAAGTTAACCTTGGTTCATAATAAAGTTAGATTTAACAGATTCTTAACAGAAACATATCATTGAAGTTATGATTGGGAAATTTTAATAGTATAGAGCTACCAAAGATAATTGAAAAAAAATTTGGTTACTAATGAGAAAAAGCAAAAACAGAGGGCTACCATTGAGAATTTCCCAATAAATAATCCCACCTTCTTTTAATGGACCTTATCCTGTTGGTGACCGATTTTTGTAGGTGATATGCCATGTGTCACTTTTTAATAAGTTCATTTTATTTTTAATAATTAAAAAAAGCAAAAAATAAAAATAAAAAAAGGAAAAAATAAACCCTGCCACCAACGAAAAACCCTAGCCATTGTGAAACCCTATCCCTCACCCCAACCACCACCAAAAACCAGCCGGCCAACCTCCTCAACCTCGAAAACGACCGCCCGACACCTACCCACCAAGGAAACGGTGGATTTTTTGTGTTGGGGTCGGGTTTTTAGGGTGTTTAACCAGCCTTTTTATGGGTTGAGATGGGGATAATCGGGGTGATTAAGGAGGTTGGGTGGGGTTTCAGGGGGTTTTCGGCGTTTAGAGGTGGTTTTCGACTTTTCGGTGGCTAGGTGGGGTTTTTAAGGGTGATGGTTGTCGTGTTTATGGTGGTTTCGGGGGTGGGTTTGGGGCAAGGGGTGGTTTCGGGGGTGGGATTTGGGGCAAGGGGTGGTTACGAGGGAGGATTTTGGTCGGCGAGGTAGATTTTGGGAGTTCCGACCGGCTGTTTTCAGGGCTACAGGGTGCTGGCCTGCTAGTTTTCGGTTTCACAGTGGGTGGGCGGTGGCTGGTTGTTTTTTTTTTAATTTTTATTTTTAACTTTTTTATTTTGACCAATTATTGAATGACACGTGGCTTTAAAAAAAATAAGACAAAACATTTTAACTTGTTTAAACAGGTTGTAGGTTAAAATGTTCATTAAAAGAAGATGCCATACCAAGGTGGGATTGCCTTGTAATAATCAAAAGGTGAGATTTTTATTGTCAGACCACACAAAGGTGGGATTATTTATTTCCATTTTTCCTTTTTTTATTGTAAGGTTGTGTTCTTTTTACCTTATTTTCGATTTTTTTTGGTTGAAATTGAATTATTTTGTTAAAAATATTTTGGATTAATTGATAAGTCTATTGTAATAATAAATTTAAATTTGTGCAACTAAAAGGGAAATTATTACTGGTACACTCCAGGTTCTGACTTTTATCTTTGATACACCTTATTAACTTTTGAATATCAACTTTACACTCATCATAATTATCACTAAATTACTACTGTAACCAAAACGGCGTTAATCAATCGATAAGTAAGGGTTATTGACAAGGCTTTTGCTTAGACTTGACTGAAATGTCCTCCCACTCATTAACTCTCTCTCCAAACCCAACTGTCAACATTAACTCCAAATTTTTCGATCATTCATCTTCTTCACTATCTCCCCTGTTCTTATTCTTCCCTCAAACCCTAATTGACGTACTAGTGAATCAAAATTCGTAGAGATTTAGTCCTAATTTGTGGATTATCCAAGGTTAGTGCTTCTTTCTTGTTGTAATTTCTTTTTTTTTCGCTTTTAATTGCTAGGTTTTAGTTGATGTTTGCAATTTCGTTTAGTTGAATTATGTTCACTAGTTGAATTATGCTCTAATGTTCTTGGATTTTGCCTTGAATTATGTTCGATTTGCCTTTGATTATGTGTGCTTGCTAAATTTTGTACTTTTTAACATATATAATTCAAAATTGTTGAGTTTGAGTTGCATGCTATTGTGTTAGTGGTTGTATGCTTAATCTAGGTTTAAATATGTGTTGTTCTTGAGTTTGTGATTTATTGTTGAGCGACGGACGTCCGATATATAAAATAAAAAAGAAAATGCAGTGTCTTGTACCTCCAGTACATAGAAGTTAAGATCAAATATAAAGTCACATGACTCCCCCATATGTTTGAACTCAACGTATATACGTTCCAAGAGTTCTGGTGCACAATCTCTTTCACTTTATGTTAGTTACCTTTTAGACTTGGTGATGACTCTCAATCCACAACACATTCAATCAACATAAATCATTCAAGTATTTAAACATTCTAATTCAATTTTTGAATATTTAGTGATCACATATAATTTAATGTTGAACCCTTTTTAAAACTACCTCAGTGTTAAAACACCTTAAGCGCATAAAGCACCACAAATCCTATCCCTCGGTATTCTGGCATTATAAAAACTCTTAACCTTGCTGTAATTTTGTTTACAAACACTAATTTAAGTAGTTTTAATCAACCACAATTAAATTCCTTATTTAGAAACCTAAGGTTTAACAATTTGGGGCTTTTTCATATAAAAACCAAATCTGAAAATTATATACATATAAATCATCATTTAAACATCATAAAATCATCGCACACACCCAAATTCAATGATGAAACTAAGCTAGATTAATTTAAAACAAAAGATAAGAGTATTTTTTCTTATTACACAATCGCATGTACGCAGACACGGGGAGGGGTTGTTACCGCCCTCCGTGTGGCAGTTGCTATGCCAGTTGATGCTGGTGGCGGTGGGCGGCCTGTAGGAAGTGGTGGTGGTGGCCGGCCACCCTAGTGGTGCGTGTGTGTTAGTGTTTGTGAAGTATAGGGGAAAAATTAAGGGAGAGAGAAAAATAATGAGGTGTTTGGTTAGAGGGATAGAAGTAAGAGGGATAATAAGGGAGGAGAAAGATAGGGGATTGATAGGTGGGACAAGGATAAATAATTTTTATCCCATGTTTGGTAAGTATGGGAATAAATTAGGGATAAGTAATAAATTTATAAAAGTACCCTTACTAACTGCTATCCTTTCTCTTTACCTTTTCATTTCATTAAGGATAATTTAGTCTTTTTCAAGCCAATTCTTATCCCTTCCCCTTATACCACCCTCCTTAGTTATAGAAATGGAGGGATAAGTGGGTGTTTTTTTAATCCCTATCCCTAACTCCCTTATAATCCCCCATCTCTCTAAACAAACACTACTTTTCTTATATCTCAATTTTTTTTATCCTTATCCCACCCCTTTTATCCCCTAAACTAACATCCTCTAAGAGAGAGAGAAAGAGAGTTTTCCTTTGGGTATTCTCCACCTTGGGCAAAGTCTAAATTTGCTCATAAGATGGGTATTTATATTCCCTCAAAATCCTCCTAGCTTAATTTCTCTTTTTACCTTAATGATCATCATTCCCATTCAAATTGGTATTTTGACTTTAATAATAATCCTTTTGACTCTTTTTTTTACGGGTAACAAGCAATAAAATTAAGAAACCAAATCAAAGTTTACATGACCTTGAATTTCATCAGGAAAATCCTCGAGCCAAACGCGAACACTATCAAAACTAATACCCAAACGCTCGAGACGATGCACCACCTGATACCTAGTTCTCCTCACCCACAAGAAAGAGCAAGCGTGGCAAGAGGAGGCCATAAGATGGATATCCTTCATGATCATGCCCCAATGTTTCTAAATAACAATATGAAATGTTTCCAAAATCAAATAAATAAATAGTAATGTGTTTTAATTATTAATTAAAATAAACCTTTTTAATTATTAAAATACCATAAATGATTCATTTTAAATTATTTAAATACTTCTATAATATAATAATACTTTAAATTAATATAGGAAAAGTGACCTCATGGATTTAAAAATTCTACATGGAAGATAAACTTTTTTCCAATTCTATCAAGTGACACCCTGGTTTTAAAAATTAAGTATAGTGCCCTTTTTGGGGTTTATGGCTAACCTTTAGACTTAAAATGGTTAACTTTATGTTTTTTGTTCAAAAAATATATTCAATTATTTTATGTTATAATATAAAATTAAAAAAAACACCACCACCCCTTTATCCCATCCCACTATCCCAGCCACCAGATCCGTCGCGGCCACCCTTCCTAGCCATCAACCTCTCTCCACCCACCCAGCCCCCATACCCTACCGGCGAACATAACCCCTGCGCT